CGAGTGAAGGTATTTGCCACGGTTCCCCTCAAATAGACAAAATTACTCGTCAATGTTTGGGGTGGTAACCAGACTTTTAGTTGCTATGATAAAATGCAATGTCCAACTCTGTTATGCGACAACTTTAATTACACGTCGGCTGTCTGTGCTCTCTTGCACGTCGGCTTTTTCTGCATAAGTCGGCGATGGAAAAGAGGCACTGGAGCGTATCGTCAAGGCTTTAGCCTCTCCACTCATTCATTCTGCCCTCGAATTCAGTCGAGGTTCCTGATGCATCTAAGACGAGGCGATAAATTAGCCCATTCCAAACGATTATGCATCGGCAAAACACAAACTGGAGGAGGTTCCAAGGGAGTTTTCACATTTAACGCCTTGGTGTGTCTCTCGATGCCTTGGTATTCCGAACTAGAGAGATGGTAAGACTGAGGCATATTGTGACTCATAGAAATCCTAGTTTTAGTTCAAGTAGTAGGCATATAAACCGAATTACAGTCAGCCTGTATAGAACAAAATGTGTATAAATGTGCTAGTTTTGAAGCATATTCAGGACTGGTTAAAGCTTGTACGATACCCGTGATTGAAGCGCGAGAGAGGATGCAGGAAATCGCGCGGCCTTTGAGTCATCAGTGTGAGTCGTGAAGGCTGAGTGGATGGGGCCCCGTAGAGATGAGGATCTCGTGGTTCTCATAGAGGCAAGTGTCTGTACTTGCCACATGGGATCAGTTGAGAAGTAAGGCTTAGTCTCATTACAGTGATAGTTTACTTGCAAGTACGTAAAACTGGTCATTGAGTTTAAAACTGCTAAAGCTCGAAATGAGAAATGAAGATAAAGAATGGATTTAGAAGAATACTTCTCTGCTCAAACTGTTGTGAAACTTTGTTGGGGGCACCTTCATTTCATGTGAAAGTGCATAAAGAAGGAAGGAAGTCGCGTGGACTGCGTCAACATAAATATCGCATAAAATCCAACCGGCTGCAGTACAACGAGTTTCATCCGTCCTCATCTGGTGAGATCAACCAACGAATCTCTTCTTCATGCACTTGCATACGAAATGAAGGTCCCCCTAACAATGTTATCTCGGGAGATTTATCGAAACCAAGCTTCTCTTTGTATCTACAATGTTGTGAAACTACAATCATAAAAGGTAGGTTCCGAGACGATCAGTAAACATTTAATGAGATTTCCAGTCAACCTAAGTCGTGTAAAGTGATAAGGGACTTGTAATGGAATTTTCCCACAATCGGACTAGTAGGTCACAGGTCTTCATTAAATTATACACAGCCTTTCTTCGGAAAAGTTATTTCCATCCAGACAGGAATGGATTGCAGTCTTGGCCCAGGCTTATTCGTAGCAATGTAGAGGGACGTTGACAGGTTAAAATTATGCGCTGCATAACATCGTTTCGACTCCAGCTGAGGGGTCTAATGAAATCGGTTTAGGCGTGATTGAAACTGTAGTATAGTCCCGCCTGGATAAGAATACTTGCTGGGAGGTAAGGCTAAGGAAATGCGATAGAAACGTGAAGCCAACTCATATGATTGCTGTTTTCCTTTATCACTTTAGCCGACCTTGGAAGAATGCAGATCTTATTCAAGAATTACTGGCAGTTGCAAAACCTACTTACCACGACTATCAAGCTCTATTCTATGTTGGTAGGAATATGATCGACTTTTTTGGAGAGGTCTTGAGGACTTGGTATATTTGATTTTTTTCTCGTATTTACTATTCTCCAAAAAATAAGCTATTTATAAACAGTTGTTTGACCTTGTTTACGCAACTCGGTCATCTTGGCAGAAAGACTTTGAGGAAGTTACCTTGTCCTGAGTCCATTGTATGCATAATCATTTCCAAAGTCGGACCTTGGACGTGGTACATTTTCAGACGTTTCACCGTCATAGTAGTCGATATCGTCAGTGAGTTTGGCCATTCGTAGCGCCATATTATAACTCGTCAAGGAGACAAGTAAGGCCGATCCTTTGACCAAACGTGTGCTAAACAGTGAAGTCGTGATAGGAAGATATAGGAAATGTGAATAGCCTCGGGCAAAAGGGAAGATACCACAATTGTTTACCACACGTTTGGTCAAAGGATCAGCTTCACTTGTCTCTTAGACAAGTTGTAATATGGTGCTAAGAATGGCGAGACTTACTGACGATACCGACTACGATGCAAGCGAAACGTCTGGGAATGTACCACGTCCACGGTCCGACTTTGGAAATGATGATGCATACAATGGACACCTGACTAGGTGCGTTTCTATAAGTCTTCCTACCAATATGAGCGAGTTGTGAAAACAAGATCAAACAACTTTTATGCAACCAAAGAAGACTGCGACCACACAAAAGGTCACACCATCTTGGTCTTCATACCTATGAATAGGCAGTTTACTCCTAAATCATCAAAAAATTCGCCCGAAGAAAAGTATAGTCTGAAGTTTGGGAGACTATTTTGAGTAGTATTCTTCCGAGGTTAGCGAGTAATCAGCTTAGCATTATGTCATACTCATTAACTTTGAAACCGAAGCACTGAATACAACCAACAGAATGAGCAAGAATCGTATGACATTTCTATCGTAGCCAATTTGAGTCAGTCACAAAAACAGGAAAAACGTTAAGAAATACTTTGGCATGACTTTCCATTTCTAAGAGAAAGTTGGTTGAAAGGAATTCACGATGTGGTCTTACCGGAAACCGAATGAGAGAAGACTGTAAAATTGTGCGAAGAACTCCCTACGCGACAATCCTCCTTCGGTTTCCGGCGCCACCATATTTCATTTAGGAATTCTTCGAAACCCAGTTTTTCTTCATAAAACGGGAAGAAGCCTGACCAGCCGGTCCTGCAATATTCTGATGTGACAGTATCCACATCTTGCGCACTTCTTGCTCCTCTCAGGTCAAAGTTATTCTTTTTAATATTATTTATGGGTACATTCTAACGGACTGCCAACTCACCTAAACGAAAATCTTGGTCCTCATGTTGTCAAAAGTATGAGCGCATGTTGGACTCGTTTGAAGCTGACTTTGGGAGTTTTTTTCACATATGGACAGAAATGCGATCTGTGTACTGCTTCGTTTCGAGACTACCAGTAAATCAGTGTAATGAGATGTATTCACCCTATTTCGTGTAAAGTGATGAAGGAC